GGCCAATAGTCGCGGTTATATTAGATAATTTAGAAGTTGTATCAATTAGCAGCATTATAGTGGTTTTGCATGTAATAGACGACTGATTGACTAACCCCCGGTTTCAATAACCAAAAAACTATCCGTTTTTGCTACCATCCGTAGCATTTCCTACCGATGGTAGCAAAAAAGTGTTTCAATAACATACCATTGGTAGGTAAAGCTACCGACGGTGTGCTACTAACGGATTGATCTGATACTGATAACCGTTCGTAGGCAAAATGTATGAAAATGGCGCAAACAGGTGTTTCAATATCTTTCGGTAGAGCTGTCAAACTTACTATCCGTAGCTTATCTGTCAAATTTGCCTACCGGCCATTTTCCGTCGGTTATCGTAAAAATATTTATAAATTACATGTTTTTCCTTGTTAACTAATAGAAAAATAACAGTTTTTCATTAAAAAAATAATATTGTAGAAGAGTTTGATGTGTTTTGTGGTTCCAATTAGAAGTATTTAAGTCGTAATCATGCCAATGTTTGTACCTTTAAGGGCTCATACTACCAATTAATCATTGCTCCAGATGCTTTCTACAATATGTTTCTGTTGAAAAACTTGATGATTTACCTCTATATAATTATGAAAAACCTTGTTCTAATGAAACTGAATTTGCCACCTACTTGTACCAAACTTATACACGTTACATTAGTTTATACCCTTTATTTTTTATTAAACACTGATATTGATTTAATTCTTAATAAAACCCAATTTGGATATAACTTATTTATTTTACAAATAAAAAACAATTCATAAAAATCTACATAATTTTTACATTATTCCATTGCATTTTTCTACGTTTGTTATACGATTTGACACAATCATTCCACTTTTTCTAATAACCATTCATTTATCATCCTATGTCAATGGATCACAATTGTTCACTGTCAAATTCATTAATCTTATCTTGCAAATTCAATAAGTATAGTACAAATAACTTTATACAATTAACAATTTATAATAAAGGTGAACTCTATATAAAATTCCCGCTAAGCTTCTACGGAACATAAATCAACTTTACTTTTTGGCATAATTAAAGGCAAAGGGATATAGCACATACAACCTAGTCTAGAGTGACAATATTCACATTGAGGTTCACTTGGACGTTTTAAGTGCTTTTTTTGGAGCAAAAATTGAAATATATTAGAAAATGGTGAGGTATGTTACAGTAACACGTCCGCGTTCTTGTACCTACTAAATTGACAAAACACTGCTCATAACCATGCACCGTACCATTTTAATGAACTGTGTATTGCACACGTTTATTTATATTCCGAAATTTAATTTGAGATAAAAAAACTTATATAAACAAATGATGTTATTTTAGGGGTTGCAAACATTTTCCAAAAGGTTCTAATTATAATTTTATTTTTGCAAATAATAATATGGAAATAAGATGTCTTACTTTTTATCGACTTCAATGAAAGAGAAGGTTTCTCATTCAAGTGTAACTAATTTTGTATAACAATGTGGGGATAAAAATGTAAGATTTGTTGACATTAGCCTATAAGAATTTCATTACTTTTTCAATTTTAAGTACTTTAAATTGTAAATCAATATCGAATAAAATACTTGTACAGTAGATGGCAAATTCAGTTACATCAGAACCAGGTTTTTCATAATTATATAGAGGTAAATCATTATGTTTTTCAAAAGGTAAATCATTATGTTATTGTAGAAAGCATCTGGACCAATAATTAATTGGTAGTAAGAGCCCTTTAAGGTACAAACATTGACATGATTACAACTTAAATTCTTCTAATCTGAACTACAAAACATATTAAATTCTTCTACAATATTATTTTTTTAATGAAAAACTGTTACTTTTCTTTTAATTAACAAGGGAAAACGTGTTATTTATAAATATTTTTACGATAAATCAAACTAAATAAAAAAAAGTTTTAATTCAATGAGCCAAATGTTCCGAATCGCTGTTTCTTGCCTGCAGCATAAAATATTTCTATCCTATTTTTATCTAAAAAAAAAAGAATTTTTAGTTTAAATAAAAAAATTACTAAAAACTTTTAAAGAGATAAATTTAAGCTATTTGTAGTAATGGTAACTCTTTTGTTTACATCAGAATTCCATTTCAGACGATAATTTGTTTCACAATAACACCACTTTTAAGAACCTAACTATATAATAAATAAGTCATAATAATTCCAAAACAAATTTCAAATTTAGTTTCGGTACGTAATCAGTTCACCTCTTTCCTATTGATGTCTCTGTCTTCCTTCTTACGATTTCGATTTTGTCCAAGAAATTATTAAATGTAAAGACTAACATTTCAGTATAATCATAATATTACCTAAGACAAGGCTGTATGGAAAGAACCCCTTTCCTCGAATTATATGATTACATTTAAAAAAAATGAGCTACCGACAACCGTTCGTAGTTGGTAGGCGCCTACCGATGATTGTGAAACGCAAAAACGAATGGTTGTCGGTAGCTCAAAAAACGGTCGGTAGCTGCTACCGATGGTTGTCGGTATATTATTGAAACCGGGGGTAAGTAGACCACCTGTACAATTGATGCAATTGATGAATTTGATTGCAAGCTTCGATATTATAAAATTTTTGCCAACTTAGAATAGTAGAACCGGTAGTTAAATAAGGATAATTACCATACTTTCTCTGAAATCGTGAAAAAATAATTTCATTTCCATATGACAGAGCTAACATTAGTATAACTACCAATAATTGTAGGTTTGATACAATTTCTATCAATAAATAAAAAAGAAACAAAACATCAGAAGAGGGTAGAGGCTGTATGAATTATACTTTTTGCCTCTCTACAACGAAAAATAAAACTCTGGCGGGAAAAACGTTTGACAATGACAGTGACGTAACAAAGTTGACGATTTATGTTTGTTTGGTTCTTATAGAGATAAGACTGCTTCAATTTTCAAGGGCCTGCGAATAGTTATTTCATTTTCAGCTTTATATAAGATATTTGTTCCTAAAGCATCGGTATACAAAATTTTAAAGATCATCAAGATGAGTACTCAAGACGTGGAGGTTAGTTTGATTTGTGGGTACCCCAATGCTTTTGTAATCATTTAAATGTATATTTGCAATTCCTTTATTACTGCATTTTTAATTCATAGGAATCTACAAGGCCTACTAGAAAATCTCTCAAAACTCTTCAACATACCGCCAGCGATCGTGAAAACTTAGTGGGTAGACCATCTAAAAGTCTAAAACATCAACTTTCTCAAGATTCGCCTATGTATGTTTTTTAATTAGGTTTTGAAATAAAAATATTGTCATTAAATTAATAGTTGCTTTTGTTATTGTAGTGATGTAGAAGTTAAACGCAAAAACTTATCCACCAAGGAAACACAAGCAAATATTGAGACGAAAATCTCTGCTGATGATCTCACTAATCCGGAAGGAGCATCTGAAACATATTGGAAACTATTAGCTGAGAAACGCCAGTAAGTTGAATTAAATATTTCCTAATTTTTGATAATTCTTGTAACTCAAGTCTTAGAAGCATGTAACTTCTGCACAGATCACAAACAAATATGTAAATAGAATTAACAAATCCATTGAACAGGTATAAAGAAATATAACATGCAAAAGGTAAGGTTTAATAATAATAATTTTGAATTTTATATACATAAGACAGATCTCTTTTATATCTTTATTAAGGATAACCAAGTAACTAGTATAAACTATTAAAGTTTGACCAATGATCTCTAGTTACTAGTTATTTTAGGAGTAAACACTCACTATGAAAGGTTTACAGAATTTCAATCCCTAGGGGGTTCAATTTTTAGACTACATATAAAAATGAGTAAATACTTGTTTAAGCGATTGTGGAAATTCCACTCTTGAAGGGTTGAAAGTTTACCTGGAAGTATGTTATTTTTTAAGCTAAAGATGTGAAACTTTTTTGGACCACTGATTATTAATGACTGAATCACTTCTATCTATTGGGTTAAATAGAGGTTTTTAATTTCCTGGACAATATTACTTAAATTTTAATTTGCTGTGTAGTGTAAAATAAAGCATATATTATTATTAATAATATAAATAATATGGAGTAGTATCTGACCACACACCCTCCACATGCAAAATGGGTGCAATCTTGTCTAGTTGCAGAGACTCCTGTTGAAGGGAGAAGAAGAATCTTAATAATATGTTTTATTTCACACACAGCAATTAAATGTATTTATCTTTTTAATTAGATCACATTTTGTTTAGAATTGCTCTACAAGAGGCATTGGATGAGAATCAGAAACTCCTAAAGATTATTGATGATTTAAAAGAAGAAAATAGATTGACCAAACAGATGTTAGAAGAGGCTAACAGTTTCATTGAAGTAGTTAAGGTAATATTTGTATTTTTGGATTATCTTTTTTAAAAATCTTTGAAATATTAGATTTTTTTTACCTATAATGATCAAAATAATCGGTACATATCTGTTTTTAGGAGGAACTGGAAAATAATAGTAATGACACAGGCATTGACGTGAACGATGTCAGTACTGCTGATGAAACTGATGACCATGTGCCATCTGAGACATCTCATACTGATGACTAGATGTTTGTTACAACTAAAAGCAGTAAATTTTTTGTCTATTTGTAAGATACTAAACTGATTGAATTTTAATAAATCAGTTATTTAAGTGGCTTAGTGTGCTTTTATATTTTGCATTATAGTTTTGTATTTTTTTGTATTATTCTTAGTTTCAATTACTTTCTTTACTATGTAATTTTTAGTGCACAACATAATTAGACTATCAAGAGTAATTGAAATTAGTTTTTTTTTTCCTTTTTTACTTTCATCATGTTTCCTAATATACATATTACCATGAATAGAAAAAAAGTCAATGTTCAAGATCTAAATTCTAATAATTGTTCTACTAAGGGCATATTATTTTAAAATCATCATCAATATAGTTTAGGCATATTTCGGTAAGATTTTAGGTAATGTTACAAGAAAATTATGAAGTCAAAATAAAGGCAATTACAATGTTACTTTATTGTCTATCACTGTTAAAATAGATCAGGTACATAACTAGTATAGTGGTATATTATCTGGACCAGTACATACGCCTAAGTGGAAATTGTATTTTATCTAGTCATAATCTTGATTTTTACCCACCATAAGTCAGTTTTTAATTTATAAGGCAAGAGACATTCTTATCTAATACATTGTTAAAATATTAAAGTAAAATATTAATACATTTACATTTGTAATGGCTGCAGTATGTAAATTACCTAATCTCAGTTTCACTAAATAGCTATAAAATACTTATATTACATGGCTAGCTATAGAACCTGGCTAGATTCTAATCCTCAAAAATTCTTTAAATTGTTCATTGAATTTTGATTCATGGGTCATAGGCATCAAATCAGGATACATACTAATATATCGGAACACATCTACATCTACTTGTTGTGGTAAAACAGTTCTGACTTTTTTATTAAGACAACCAGTAGCATGAATATAATGATTCACTATAAGAGAATAAATAAAATTGACATATTTGTAATCTAAATTATCAGTTACATGTGGATCACTTGTGTTGGAAGACCTAATTTCATTGAGATAACCCGAAGTGATGACAGGTACAACATAATCAGCCTGAAAAATAATATATTTTCATTAATAAATATCACAAAAGAAAATTTTGTAAAAAAGTTCCAGTCTGGCTGTTATTATAGTATATCTTTTTATTCATTTCTTACCTTTTCAAAATATTCCCTAATGAACTTTTCAGGATTTTGATACACTTCATCCTTTTTATCAGTCAATGTTATTACTGTAACTGGAGCCATATCTGTCCAACTCTCTACATAATATTGAATATTCTGTGCTGTCTGATGACCGTCTTCAGTGAATGTTAAGAATAAAATTGGTGAATCATTTTTATTTTCTTTGTCAGTCTTCTTAACTTGTGGTCTAGACTTAGGTTGATTTGGTTTATTAGGATCTTTGTCTTTAATAACAAAATTTTTATTTAAAGCTGGTGGTAAGTCATTAGGCAAATTTTTTGTTAGACTAATAACTTCTTTGTGACCATTACTCTTGCTGTTACTGTGATAACCACTATCATCTTTATTAAAGCATTGAGCTAAATCTAGAAATGGTCCTTCAATAGATTTAAGAATGTCATATCTTTTCAATACTACTAATGCATCTATGATATTATCCAGGGTTGCCTTTTCACTTTGCATGAACACTTTAAGAACAACATCAACTGCATCATCTCTCACAGAATTATTTATATACTGAAATAGAAATTTTTATTATAGTAATTCAAATAATATTAAATTATTTTAACAATACATTCTATACTACAACTACTTACATCTAGATCTGATTTTGAAATTTGCAAATGTTGTCCCAGGTCCCGCCATCCATCAACTGTTCCTCCTACTTTTTTTATTAAGGTTTTCCAAGCTTCATAACAAACAGAACCCATTTTGGATTTGTTGTTTCGATAGTACAATAAACTTGTGTGTAAATGGCATACTTTTTTACTGAGTGATTTTAATTCTGCTATTTCTTGATCTCTTTCTTCGAGTACTATATTTTCTAGAGCCAATGTATCTATACTGAGAGTATCAGCTTTATCAAAATCATATAACAAATCCCTGTATTGAAAAATCAAACAAAGAGATTTAATTTAAGATCATCAGGATATTTATAAAGGAAGAATTATGAAGAAATGGATGTAATGCAAACCAGCCCCCTAATTGTCTAATTTTAAATCTATTGCAATCGCTTTCAGTTTGAAAGGTGTTGCACAACCATTGCTGCATAATACAAATACTTTTTTTTTCAACTGTCTTCAGAAACAAGCAATGGTTGTGCAACACCTTTCAAACTGAAAGCGATTGCAATAGATTTAAAATTAGACAATTAGGGGGCAGATCCAACCCACATGATGACAGTTTTGAGAAAAAATATTTTTGTTAAAATGTTGTAAAGTAAGTGTTACTTTTTTTAGTAACATTTTCTAACAGTATTGTAGATTAAATTTTCTTTTATTTATTTATCAAAAAGTTTTAAGAGAGTTTTGTTATAGTACAGTATTTAAATAAATATATATTATGTGGTACACACGAAATAGTGTTATAAGAATATTACTGCTCTTCAAATATCAAGGACTCCATTTCAATTTAGGATATTTTGAATGTTCTCCAAAATCTAATGAAGAATTTTAAGTTGAAAATCAAACTGCCTACCTATCCTGCCTACTCCACAAGGAATCCAACATGAAGATAAAGAAGCTTTTAAAATTGACAGTACCTATTATAATATTATGTGATTTGAATAATTGTTAATTTAGTATATTAGTTTATGTTAAAAATAATTTTAACACAGAACCAATTAAGACAATATAAAAATTTAGTTTCATGCTGCGTGGATCTGAACGAATAATTTAATATTAATGTACCAGTTACCATGGATCTATTTATGTTTAGCAAAATTGGACTTAGTTACTTTAACCTTTATATTTTAATTTTGTTATTAAATATTATTAGTTTTGTTAAAATGACACTATAATAAGACAATGTAAGTGGTTTTCTATGCTATTAGAAAAAAATATAATACACAAAAATGTTACATCAACATGCAAATACAGCTTAAACTTCAATAGTCTATCTCAAAAGTGACAGTGTGTGGGATGGATCCTTTTTGATTAACTACGTCCAATAGTTCTTTTTTGAGTTAGTATCTTCTGAGCTCATGATTTTTGTAGTTAAAAGCTCTTACAGCACCTTGATCTTTTTAGGACAATAGGTACATTTTTAAGTTTCTCTGCATAAATAATTCGATTTTGACATATTTGTGGGTTTGACCCGAATTTCGTGTGAAACTGAAGTTTAACACCGGAATTTTCTTACTTACATGTTCATAGTATTTATCTAGTAGAATCGCAACGCAAAGACCCTCAACGTTGAATTATCATATGGGTAAAATATATCGATAGCTTGAGGGTTTAGGGAGTTAACTTTCGATGAGGAAACATTGAAATTACAAAATAAGGAAGATTACAAAAATACCAAGAACCACAAAGACAATATTGCACAAAGAGTAGAGTAGTAGTTTCGTCCATAGGACAGGCGAAGGAAGTAAGCCATACAGCCAAATCGTGGGTTATTATATGTATAGAATCACAAAGAACGATACCAAAGACTAATCAACAAAGAGTGAAGTAAAGTAATAGCATTGACATAAAAGAAGAGTAATAGACAAGTCAAAGAGCAATGCTGCCTTACACATGATTAGCTAGTAAGTAGATTTTAGACTTAATTTTAAGTGATCAAGTATGTGTAAACATAGAAATAAGTAAGCAAACAAAAAGATAGTTAACTACTTACAAGCTTAATATGAATAAAATGTCGACTTGCTACTTATTACTTATTTGTATGTTCACCTATTTAGTCATTTAAAATTAGGTATCTTGAAAATTTACTTACTCCTTATCAACTTAATTACGTATAAACTAGCCATACAGTTACTACTACTTTATAGTAAGTCAATCACCAAAAGCGCTTAATGCACATGAGTAAATGAATATCTTATACCTGGTTTACACTCACGCGAATGACGAGGAGGGAGTAAAAGAAGCCGTGAAAGCCGAATGGTCATAACTGTTTCGACAGTAAACAATCCATAAATGCTATAGTTATAATTTAGCGCCTCAATTCACAAACTTCTCATTTGCTCCAGAGTGCTGGGATTAATCTACAGACGTCTGAGTGTTTAAAAACAGTAAATTTATTAAAACTCCGAGTAACTTTTATTCATTGATTAAGGAACATTAACTTATATATGATACATCTATATGTAATATATTTTTAGTACTTACTTTATATAGTTCGACAATATAGCACTTACCGCTCTATTTTAGTCTCTACGTATTAAACCTATTTTTGAGAACGTTTATTAAATAAATGTAAAATTTTACCTGTGTTTATGTGAGAGTGTTGTTATGAAATAAATATTTTCTTATTGGTAACGTCTGTACGTTGATATACATTAGTGTACCGTTAGATTTACAATACGATTATGTTGTATCTAACTTAATAAATATATTTTGTATAATAAAACATTTTATTCTTAATAGTCTTAATTACTGAAATCTAAGCCTCTAAAGTTTAAAACATCATTTTTTTTAATAAAGATCAATGAAGTCGCTTAATATACCTAATACCTTCTCCTAAGTCTGACAAATACTATGCTGAAAACTGCTTTAAAACCGGTTCAGCCAAATGCGAGATAATCGCGCACAAATATATATACATACAGATTAAACTGAGAACCTCTTTTTTTTGAAGTCGTTTAAATACTATCCATCAAAAAAGTGAACAATTCCAATGTATCAAAGTTCACATAATCGTATTTTCTATATCTCCACTGAACTCCTGCACTTAGTCTTATATCAATAAACTGTATCGATTTCGTATTCCCTAAGCATTAATGACCATGGAAGTGAACTTCAAGGAGTGATTTCATTTGAATTAAAAAATATAAAGCAACTGGTTGGCTATACATATATTTTCTTAATAAAACCACACGATGACGGCTTTCCCACAGAGCTCTGTGTACAATTTACTCTAGTTATCCTTAGAAGTTGCCAGAGTTACAAAATAAGGGGCAGCATGTATGAGCTAAAATACCTTTGCCTTGTAATAAAATAATATGGCGGGAAAACTAAAAAGGAAAATATGAGGCATTCATGATTTTGATAGTACTATAGATATAGTAAATAGATCAGATTTTTTATTCTGGGATAAAAATTAATACGAAAAAATATGAGTTCCACACTGTGGGTATTATTTTTTTAAATTGATAGAATATCACTTTCTGTTTATTTTGTCAATATACTTTTTTCTGGTCAGGTTTTTTAATTAATATGCTTGGATGCATAAGATACACTCATCAAAAAGGCAATGTAACTCTTAGTTCTAGTTTCACCGATGTGTTCGGAGATGAAATACCCGATTCGCAACCTATATCGTTGCCATCAAGTGCTGATACTGAAGAACAACCAAGACAGGATTTAGATGAAAAAGCAAGTTATATTCATCCCACTAAGGGAACAGGACAGATTGGAAGCTTTCGTAGTGCACACGAAATAGGTAGGAATATTTTGTATAAGAATTATTATATTGAACAACAAAATATTACTAAAATACCCAGTTATAGTGTTGTTTATTGTTTCTGTAACCATTTTTGAAGTGAAAACCTTCTTTCAGCTCCCAAGTACAGACATGTTTTTACATATCAATATTTTAATTTAGTGCAATCCGGCGTAATAGATGATGCACTATACACAGGTTTGTTTTACTTGTTTAAAAAAATAATAAACAGTATTATGTACGGTACCTACTTACTCACCGACTTTTACTATTTTTCTTTCAGACAAATCATTGGTAGTTTGCGCACCGACAGGATCCGGAAAGACTGTCGTCTTTGAAATGGCAATAGTTCATCTATTAATGGAAATTGAAAATAAAAATTACACCGAAAATTTCAAAATCATTTACAGTAACTGTTTTATTATTATAATCTTAACAATTTGTGCGTTATTTCGTTTATTAGGTTTGATTAACTGACATCGTCTCTAAGTAATGGAAAGGCTCTTATGCCGGTTTCAAGGTCTCGCCATCTCAGAGATCTCGATTCCCGTTTAGGTCAATATGGAAAATAAAAGTGTTGAAGTAAAAGTTATACTTTTCTATATTATCTCGTGACTGGGTTCTGTGGTATCTTCATTGTTTCACGTTTATTCTTCATTTTTTTAACTTCATTGTTTTAACTTTTGCATGGCGAAAAATCACTAAAGCTTTCCTTATATTCAACATATCTTGTTGTAATTTACCTATACCATTTCTTATACGAAAAAGTGTTTTTTTTTTTCAGTGGCTCCAGTAAAAGCTCTTTGTACAGAAAGAATAACGGAGTGGCATTCAAAGTTCAACAAGTTAGGGTTATTATGCATAGAAGTTACTGGCGACACTGATGTTGACTTCGATCAACTACAGCCCTATAAGTAAGTATTACTAAAACGTTTCGAGATTTTTTTTTTTACTATTTAATGGATGACGTCATATTAATCAAAAGATTGTATTAGTATTCTAATTGAAAAATAGAATTTTATTCATGCAAAAAAAAAACATTTTTTTTCATTAACAAAATTGGAACGTACATAAGTACTGTCGTTCATTATTCATCATCGTCACCAGCCCTTTTACGTCCCCACTGCAGGGGCTCAGGCCTTCCTTATGGATGGTTAAGGAGGATGGGCCATGACCCTCCACGCTGGCCGAATGCGGATTGGAGGATTATTATAAATATATATATATATTATTCATAGGATTATAATAACAACTCCCGAAAAATGGGATATGTTGACTAGAAGATGGAGGGATCATAGAGGCTTAGTGGAAATGGTGAAACTATTTCTTATTGATGAGGTGCATATATTGAATGACAAGATTCGAGGGCCTGTACTTGAATCTGTTGTCAGTAGAATGAAGGCTATCGAGGTTTGTTTCATGCATTAATCTAAAATTTGTCAAAGTCCGAAACGTAAAACAAAATATTATTTAATAAATAATAAAATTCTTACTTCGCAATGTTGGTAAACGATGTGATAAACATTTTTAAATATTCTAAAAGGAATTGGAGCGCGTTGATGTCTTTTCTTAGTAATGAAAATATTTCAATGAAAAACCAATACAATTAGTTTGAAAAAATATGTGTAAATCAGTGTTTGTTGTGAAGTCTGCAGCACAATCAGCGTATCGCATTGAAAAACTGCAAGAACAATATCAAATTAGTAATGAAAGCTGCTCAAAGACTTGTACTACTCCACCAAGGATTCGGTTCATAGCGGTGTCTGCTACTGTTAGCAATCCAGAAGATGTAGCAGCCTGGTTGGGAAAGGAAGATAAACCTGCCGTATTTTATAAGTAAGTATATGAGTAATAGAGCGTCTCACGTGGGTTCGATTCTCGGCCGTGTCTACTGACAAAATGAACGATTCTATATTGTTTCGAGTCTGAGAGGTTGTGAAGAGAAACACAAGAATGAAATTAATTTTAATACACAAGCATTGTCAAACAATATCGATAAATTTTAAACATATAACACTTTTGGATATATAATTAAAATAAATTTATATTTCATTGTTGACACACGTATATGAAGAATTGTTGTCAGAGTCTATCAAATGTAAATAACACACAGCCTCCTTTTTTATTAGTATTGATAATAAGAGAAATTGACAATTTGTCTGTAGAATTCATATTTTCTCATTTTTACTATAGGTACGGTGACGAATGTCGTCCAGTGAAGATTAACCGTGTTGTAGAAGGATACCCTTGCCCAGACGGCACCAGTATATTCAAATTCGACATTATACTAAATTACAAGTTGTGGCCTATTATTCAGAAATATCACAACGGAAAACCAACATTAGTGAGTTTAATTTCTAAATTTTCAATATTTATTATCATGTGACAGTTGAGTTCTTCTTCTTTTATTAATGGCTTATCTGCGCATTTTGCACAGTTCTTCCAATTTCAAATAAATAAATGTTTACATGTAAAATGAAAAGAATCGATAGTCGAGTTGTCGTGAGACAACTGTAACTTTGACTTAAAAATTCAAAGCTGAGGGTTTGAGTTCCGCAATATCCCGCGAATGTATTGAGTTATTAGAACAAAAGTCTACATGGACACAAACCATAACATCTGTTGCGTTTGAAATTAAATAATTGATTGAAAAATGGTTTGGTATTAAATTATTTTATTTACTAGTTAAGCATCAATCAATTGCAAACACTATATTTTTATTATCTTATTTGTTGGATTATTGTAGATAGTTTAATACTGTTATTTGTGATTTGTTACAAAATATTTTTTATTTTAAAGGTGTAACAATGGGTCCCAATTATTATGCCTCCAATGTTAATTCTACATAGAACAACATTTTGTAGACAATAAATATTATTAATAAGCTGAACTTCAAATTTTCACATAATACTTATCACTATAACTACTACTACTAGCATAACTAATAAAAAAATTAAAACCATAAAAACATAATATTCGGATATCACAAAAAAAAAACCTATTGTTGTTTTTGTACTATCCGAATATTTACCAAACGAAGAATCCTTCGTACAGGAATCCGATTCTTCCTTGACCATATTTTTTAAACATAACTTTAGTAATGAAACAACAGACATGCTTATCATATAATTACATTTAAACTGTATAATAAGTTGAGTGCGATATTATTGAATCCGATGTAAACCAAAACGAATCAAATCTATTTAAGCGACAGGGGTGTGTTTCGATGGTTTCTTATGCAAATATTCCAGAGTCTTATGTAAAAATAAATATGTATAGATATTTTGCAACACCAGGAAGAGCGTCCTACTGACAGCTGAGACTCTGTCTCGTGAGATCACGATTACCTTCAACCCCGAGCAGAAAGCAAAGCTCACAGCACTCGCGTCCACAATTAAGAACAAGAAATTACAGGTAGAATTAGGCTCATTTATTTGATTTTAGCTCAGAATTAGAATAATTGTAAATAATATAATTAAGTTTTGTAGGTTACAGTGGTTGCGCGATGCTATCTTAAGTTAAAGATGAGCACATACTTGTCCTTTCTATTACTCGTTTGTACTTAGATGTACATCTGTTGACATTTTGTTGTCTGTACAAGGACCTATTTTGTAACTTGATAAATCACATTTAATTTATAACATACAAGCTTTAGACCAACGGCTTGAAGATTGAGGTTTCAATCACCATGTATATTAATTGAAGTATATTAATAACACATTAAAATCCGTTGTGTTGTTTAAAAGATCTCAGCTTACAGACTGCGGGAAGCGACTTTTTTTATACTATGTTCAGTATTGGCTGTGACTATATTATCGAATCGTAACAATATTTTCTGTATCAATATTTATTCGCAAATAAATCAATTTTTTCCATTGAAAATATTTTTATTATCAGATTAATATAAATGTCATCAGTTTCAGGTATTTAAATAAATAATTATTAGTATGCAAATAAGAACCTGATCACTACAATTTACGCTAGAATAAAAGATGTTGCCATGAAAAAAAATATTAAGCTTTAAACTTAAAATTAAGTGTTCATTGTCAATTAGGAAAAGCTGAGAAAATCATAACTTTAATGCATTTTACTGTAGTCTTAAATTGTATTTACTAGGCGTTGGTACTAGCAGGAGTGGGTTGCCATCACGCTGGTATGCTCTACGAAGAGAGATTCAACATTGAACATGCTTTTAGGAACAGAGATCTGCCAATACTTATCACTACCACAACGCTAGGTAATAATTTAACATCATTAGTCGAAACAGAATTAATAAAAAAATAATTATATTTAATAAAATACTATTGAATATAATACCTATAGTTTTTTGAATAAGTAACAATAAGTTTGAAGTCGGTTCTATTTAAAAATAAGTTTTTATTGTTTGATATTATAAGGATATTAATTACAATGTGAAATTTAATTTTCAATAAAATATTTTTTTTTGTTAACTCTATATTTAGCCATGGGCGTCAACCTACCAGCACATCTGGTGATCGTCAAAAATACTCAACAGTACGTGAATGGAGCATACCAGGTATTTGAAATTTATTTTTATAAATAACTATCTATAAATAAATATGAACACAAAAAGTAAATAATAATTTTAGCGCGTGAATTGTACCATCTGTTCTAATTTAGTCTCTAATCTTCATATATAATCTGTTTCGCATTTGTTTTTTTGCGTTATAACGTTGTATACAATTATGTACTGAAAACATATTATTCAATGCTATTTATTTTGTTGATAAAAAAGTCAAACGAATCAAATAAAACCTTGGTATTAATTATTAATTACAGTGAAAATTTAATTGCAAAAAACAGCAAAAATTTTGCACGCGGAAAATATTTTTATTCCTTTTGATTAATTTCCAACAAGTCGCGCCTAAATATGCACTTTTTAAAAATATGATTTTTGTAGAAACCTTATTAGTGTATAAATTACAGTAAAAATCTTATTGCAAGAAACAACAACATTTTATAGTGCGGAAAATGCTTTTATTCCTTTTGATTTATTCCCAACAAGTCACGCCTAAATATGCACTTTTTAAAAATATGATTTTTGTAGAAACCTAATTTACTGTTGTGTGTAAATTGTCAGAATGGCATCGAACTTGGGACATCTTGAATCCTTAATATAAATCACTTAATCCTGAAGGTCATGATAACTATTATCATATCGTAATCATATCAAAGTTTTATATTCTATAGGAATATAGCATTAGCACAGTGCTGCAAATGTTGGGTCGCGCTGGTAGACCGCAGTTTGATACTGAAGCTACTGCTGTTATAATGACGAGACAGCGAGACAAGGTATGTTAAGCGCGGGAAAGAACTTTTTGTCCACGGCGTTATCCGTATAAATTATACGATTTTCAAACTCGTATTCAATTCTCTTAGGCGTAAAACTTTTACTCGAATGCCCAAAAAGGGTGTACAATTTTTTAATACATACACAAATCATTATAAAAGTGCATCATAGAAGATACAAGGGTATTAAGAGCCAAAGAAAATACTTACGGTGAGAATTGTTTTGGCACGACTATGATGTAAAAGTTAAGAATAAAATCTATATTTTTTGGAAAAATGGTACCCACTTCACACTTTAAAAAAGTGATATATAATACTTATCTCAAAAGCGACTAATTTAAGAAACTGCCAATAAAATCGCAATCTCTTATTTTTTCGCTTAAATACATGAAATACAATACATATTATCTATTTAAGTGATATATGGTGATAAGTGTATTTTATTAGTTACTAGCTGACCCGACAGACTTCGTCCTGTCAAAAAGATTTGTAATGTGGCAGTTTTTTTGCCTACGTATTTAAAAAAATTCTCCTGAACAGAACCGTCACCCTGGTGATAGGGCGTTGTGAACTCCTCCAACTATGTATTCTGTGCTCCAACGCACACACGCACATTGTTTTGATAGATATGATCTTTGACGTTAGGAACACACCTACATTGCTTAGACAACAGTGAGTGCTTGTAATTTAATATGAACTTTATACCATAGCAATAAAGCTCAAATTGACTACGTTTTAGTTACAAATCATTTGTATGGGAAAAAGAAAAGGGCTATTTTTAGGGTTTTTCCAGCAATAATTCTAATTTTTCTCGCCGTAAAAACCATCCTTGAACTTCAACGAACATTTTAAAAAAAGATTTGGCCAAATTGGTCGAGGCGTTGTTGAGTTATGCGCTTACCAACACATTTTGCGATTCATTTTTATATATAAGAGATAAAAGGAAAACTACTGATTCGACTTCGATAAAATTTAAATGGGACTACCTCGGTTCATGAAGCTGTCGAATTAAAAAATATTTTTGAAAATCTGTCAACAATTGGGGGAATTATCGTTGAACATACATAAAAAAACATATAACCTTTTGGATTTTGAAATCAGTTAAAATGTGGATGTTTGTGTATTTGTTACTTTCTTTAATAAGAGACGCTTATAGAAGTTATTTTTATTCCCATTTATCCCAACATAATTCATATTCCTAATGCCCGAGATACACGAGGCTAGTGTTGAGTCAGGGCAGGATGGTAAATTATTGCTATCAAGCTTGACTAGGATAGTAGAAAAGCTCTGTATTATTAAGATAGAAGTACTAGCTTGCTAGCTTACTAGCACTGGCTTGTTATCCCACTGATCAGGACGATATTTTTAATAGATTTAGTGACTATATTATATTACCTTGATTATTTAAAGTAAAAAAGGAGTATAAGAAATTATTAGGACAATTAGCGAGGATAAAAATAAAATTTCATTGTTATACATCCGTACAAAATATTTATCGTCGTATACAAACTTTATTATATGCCTTAAAATACATTTTTTTCTTAGTCTAAATTTAATATTATAGTTAATATAATGGCAATGATGGCCTTCACTTAAATTCTCTAATTTAATCACAGTAAATGGTAACATCTGAGAAACACTTTACCTATCACTATGGTCCATATCGATCAAACAAATTACGTCAGTGATATCGATCAATACATAGTCAGTATTTTTTCATCTTCGAAAATAATATATTTTTTTATAAAAAGTTATTGATAAGATATTTTTATGTTTTATGGATAACTAATTTTGTTCTATAATTATAATGACTCCCTCTGTTTTAAAATATCATATTTGAAAGACAGTTTTTTATCCAAGTGACGGCTTCGTTTGCGATTTTGTCTTACCTTTCAAAAAAATCTATTCTTCAGTAATTTTGTAACTATTTATGTTGATATGTTTTAAATTCAGTTAACAATAATTCAATCAAAATAAAGAAGACTTTTAGTGTAATAAAAGTGTAAAAGTAAAGATGTACACCAGAAGTGTTTTAGTGTAAAATACTTCTAGTGTACATCTTTTTCTATCTTTTCGGTTAAGCCTAATTGGGTTACATCACACACTAATTTGTGACAAAACTTTGTTTAGTTTTCTTTCTGATTTTCTTTTGGGGTTTTCATGACTGTTGACCATTAATATCTGCGTCAGCTAATAGTATATTTTGAATTAAGTGATAGGTTCTTTCTGTCTAGTCTTTTGTTCGGTTTAATTTCTGCTTTTACCGAACGGGTTAGCGTTCGCCTCGAATGATATTTTGGGGACGAATCCACTTTCGCCCTCTACGGTGTATTCGACGGTCATCAGTCGACCGTCGGGAAGTAGAACCTTGTACCCGCCGATGACCTTGCCTTGCGCATCTCCAGATTCGTTAGCGCCGAAGTAGAGAGCTTTTTCTTGGTCTTCTACGTCGTATTTGTATTCATACTGCAAAATAATAATAAAAAAATCAATAATAGTTAATTAGATATCAAAGTCGCTCTCCTCCTTGTTAAATATTTTTTTCCAAATTCTTCAGTATTGGTAGTTAATTACGAACAGTAATAACGTACTTAGAGTTCATAGCAAAGTGAGACGTAGCTAAACAAAAATACGGCACTTTTCTTAATTTTATTATCGCTAACAATTAGATCATCTTTTATTATATCTATCTTTATGGATGATTCTGTAACTGTATAATATTGATTTAGACATAAGATTTAATAAACATTTAAATAAGTTAAAAATTTCGAAAGAATAATTAAAAATGACCGTGAAAAGCTAGTTGAAGTTATTTGGACTTGTGTCTTTCTGGCGAACTTGATAAATTTTCCCAGAATTTCTCGTGGGAAATACGCCCAAGGCCAAGCGAAGTTTATATCGTGTAATGTCCCACTCTTTAATGTTATAACAAACACAGTTCGAGCTTATGTGTAAAAATGCGTAATTAATAGTACGAGTATTATTCGAGTGCTATGCTATTATAATTACTGATATTAAAAAACTACTTGACTAATATGAGATTTATCATATTCGTCACAGCAACAACATTTTTCAGTGTCACGTATAATTAAGATACCTTAATAAGGTACTTTTATTAGAAAAGCATTTGTCGAAATTATATCCTAAATTATATCTTAAATTATAACAAACAGATCATTTCATAAAAATTTCTAATCAATTATTACATTAAAACCTTTGATTTTGCATTCAATATATCGCTGAATTTATTTCTTAAAAATACAATATATTTATATAATATTGAGTTTCCATGTCGTAAGTTTTCCAATTGGTATTTCGTTTTATAGTACCGTTAACTTCTTACGGTTATATTGGCAATAAAACCTACAAGAACCTATGTCACATGTCAACTGGCAATGTTACAAAAGACGCGAATAACGACCACGCTCATTCGCAGTTATTACAAAACAAAAACCCAGATTGCCTTCTTTAGAAAAAGTATGAATTTCTTAATCCGTATCGTGTTCAAGATTGAAAGTCAGGAAACCACTCGTCTAATAAGCTAAAATAATATTATTGGGCTTAATATATATTATTATAGTTATTATTTATTATAGTTGAATTAATTCTCGTTTATATATGAAAAACAAAATATATAAACAATTTTGGAAGCCCATTCATTAATTTGATGCAAAAGTAACACAGCTATGTTTTGAGATCACGAATACAATGCACATAAAATGCGGAACATATAATTGTACCAAAGACACATCCACCTATTAAAAAAAATTGTATTCTAATTATCAAATAGTGCGAGTCTCAAGTTTGTTAATATATTTTTTATAGTATTGTTTGCAATTAATCGAGATAACAGTCAAAAGGCGCGCACAAAGGCGGTTAGACGCAATTGTAACCAATTAGTGAGTTTACGCGGCGTACGTTCACATAGTTAGCATAATAGCTGAGATGCGCCGATACGAGCTAAAAACGAACGTGCCACCATATTGCTCTATGAATGAACAATCACGGCCAGTGCGGCCGAATGCATGTGAAAAAACGTTGGCTATGTTACCTTAGTACCAAACAATCAAGGAAAATTTCACCTTGAAAGCCTACAATTTTCAAGTAAAGTGCAATTTGCAAAGATGCCACTATCGTTTTGGCTTACAGTAATTAGAGCGTAATTACGAAGTAGGATTATTCGAATACCATATTCCAGAAAGGAGGATAATTAATTCTAAATGTTTCTATTTACCATGTTAGTAGTAAAATATGGGTCAATGAACTTTTTATTTATTAATTGCATTTTTTTTTCTATGCGTTTTATTGGATTGGGAAATCATTATTTAAATTAAAAAATTTCCGAGAATGTAAAACTTTTCTGAATTGAACTTCTAAATAAGATTAATTAAAATCTTATAATTTTAATTAATATGTTTGTTATGTATTTGTTCAAGTGGGTAATTATTTTCATAATTTTATTTTTAGTTTAAAACGATATTGTTGAAAAGAATTTGTTCGAGGAATAGCTACTGAGTTAGGAATTAATCGATATTCATCTAATCCTAATTCCCTACATTAGACCAACTCGCTGAAAAAAGTGACTAATAATAACTAAACTAAGTAACATATGGAACAAAAAAATATGTTGAATTTACGGAAACTAATATATATTTAAAAGAAACAGTTAAATTAATTTACCCATCAAAAACGTTTTCATGTAAAGTGTTGCCAAGCCCGAGACCATATGGCTCGCGCTGTCAAAAAGTTATCAGAATTAGCAGAAATTAAACAAATTTTAAAAGTGCTTTTATTGCGTAATATGTTTGCGGTATCTATGTGTTTTTACGCTTTACTAACTTTTCGCTATGATTTTAAGGTAGAACATCAACTCCTTATTAAAGAATATTTTATCTCATTATAATCGTTTACCTTTTCTGAATACATTGCACTTTAAATGTAGGATTAAAATTAAATCTGGTAGTGTCATACGGCACGAAGATGTTTCGTGTCGCAATGTGCTTAGTTGTTGCGTCTAGATCCGTACCCGTAATGTTGTAGGTCAAAGGTATGCACGTTTTGTTTAAATTATTGCCGATGCTCCGGCTTCGTATCCT